TATATATATATATATAAAAACTTACATTCATTTTGGTACTTCTCCATCTCTTGGACCTCTGCAATAGACTCTTTCAAATCATCAGTGAACTTTTTGCGATCCTGAGGGTTGGCAGCATTGAAATTGATGAGGACTTTAATGTCCGCTGCAGGAACGGCTGAGGTCAGCCGAACTCCATGGAAATAATCTAAAGAAACCAAAAGCCAAGCTGTTACAAAATGCTGCTGAAAAGCACCAGCGGATGACCTTGCATTTGCAAAAGAGTGAAACAATATTAAATATAAACGTGCATACTTTCTGTAAATGTCACATTGTCTTATAATAGACAGATATTTGTCTGTTTGGACGTGACCGTCTGAAGAAAGTGTTTACAGAGCATTTGAGAAACATTTGAGAGAGTCAGACATTCTTTATTGTCATGCACACAACATGTGGTACATGTGTTGGAACGAAATTATGTACACAGGGTCCCATTTACATCCAACAATAAAATGTAAAAGAAAAACAGTAATAAGATCTAAGATATGAACTAAGAAAAACATCAGCTAAAAATGCTGAGCACTAATAGCATTAAAACAATAAACACAATATGCCGAACAGCAGCACGAACATTTGTGCCTCCTTTCAGATTTGTTTTGTTTTGTGTCACATTTTAATGTTCTACATAATCAAACAATTGTTGATAGTAAGCAAGGAAAACCTGAGTACCGGTAAATACAAAATGCAGTCTTTAAAGGATGATTTCGTCATCCCAACGACCCACCAACTGTGAGGAAGACCATCAAAGTTGGGTGTTTTGCAGGCCACGCGGCTACGGAAGGTCCCTGAGAGCACCAGTCCCTCACAGAACGTCACCTCACTGGGGTGTAAAGAGCCAGAGCTTGCATGTGAGGTTGAGTAATACTCATTAGATTTGGTTGGGCTCACATCTCCACCTCGGTGTTGGAGTTTTCTGACTTTGTGCTTCTGTGCCAAACAGCAGTTCAGATAGAGTCTCTGGATAGTACCCTGGAATGGGTGTTGAATTCTGGTTTTCTCATGTTTGAGTTTAATGCCCAAATGGGCAGTGATGGAGAAATGAGGAAGGGGTGTTTGGGAGGAAAGACCTCCTGTATCTGGACCCTGGTGAGGTTCTGTTATTGGACTTCAGTGCTAGGTATGGGCTGTCTATAACAAACACCATGTTCAGTATATGGCGGTCCAGAAGGGAAGTATCAAGTTTACTTGGTACCAAGCCACCTTAGGTCAAAGGTCACTGATTGAATTTATAATCATAATGTGCAATCCTCTGTCTTATGGCACTTTGCTACAGCCTCTACACTCATCGGTTCCGCACCATACCACACCAGTTAAGGGCCTGCCCACTGAAGGTACCCACCCTCACTCAAACCGGTTTATGGGACCTTCTTGGTAGTGGTTCTAAGCGAACTGCTCTGAGGTGACAAATTTAACAAAAGCAGACCGCAGCTCTTGACTGGCCAGCAGATATACATCACTGAATGACTCACCCAGTCAAACTGCAAACTACACATGAACTGCTGTTTCCTCTACAATCATTGTAGTGTGTGGGATAGTTTGTTTTTCCAGTTTTCTAGTTTCTAATTCAGTATGGAAGCTCCAAAAATAGTGCCACAGACCAATGTTGAAGTCCAGACTTTTCATGGTGGAATCAGCATGAGCTGGACGGCGCTACAAGAAACAAGCAAATTTACTGTGAGATATCAGAGATAATGGTGCGGTATGGCTACTCCAGACCTTTAAGCAATGCCAGGACAAGGTAAAAAAATTTGAAGCCAGATTCAATTACGATGTCTGCCCACTTTGCACTGACGATCCTGCCCACAGAGTGGGGAAACAGGTCAAAGTGGCAAATCACCTACGCCTGAGAAGAACCGATGAGACGAGAACTGACTGAAGTCACACTTTTCAATGGCAAAATAGCTTTTGTCACCTGAGTAAAGAAATCTGTCAGCTAATCACCACGAGGCGGAGTTGAATCCAGTGGTAAGAGAGGCTGCAGGACAGACCTGGTAAACCCAAACAAGTAGTGAACGTGAACTGGGAATGCCTGGAGGAGCCCCTGCTCCAAGAGATCTGCATCTCACCCCTTCGGGAAAGTTTTTCACATGTTCCGTGGGAGATCAGAGACATGCAACATACTCTGTCAAAAGATTAATTATCTGTCCTTATATAAAACATTCCTGATTTTGCTTCTCCATTTTAATCACATTGACTGGCAACCAGGATGTCATGAAAAATCTCATTCAATTTTGGAAGATGTTACACTCAAAGTATGTGCTTTGAATGACTCTCAACTACTACCACACCAAATCTTAGCCCAATATCAGTAAAATCGACAAGTTATAGCCATTTTTGTGTTTAATAATGTCAATTAGTTTTGGTGGCCATCCCTAATTGGATTGTCAGTTATAGATCCAATAATAACTTTCTTGGAGTTTCAATAAAATTCAGCGGTTCATAAGATATTTTGTGAACAGATAGTGTTGATTTCAACAGCTAGGGCCAAAGTTTTTAACATAGATTTTGCACAATGTGTAGCATTTGGGGTGAGTGTTGTGAATAACCTACCACCCAACCACATGTTAGTGTTAAACCAGCAAACATTAACTAAATGTCTGTAAAACTCCCTCAATTATAGCCACTTTGGGTTTTTTTAAGGTTATTCAACTGTGGCAGCAATTTAGTATGAGTTGAAGTTTAAAAGTTGTAAATGTACCTCCAATAATTTATTTTCCCTTGTTTCATTGAAAAAGAATTTATGGTTCATGAGATACTTTGGTGACAGACACACGTAAACACATGCAGACACAAATGTTATCAGCAGCCTTCACATTTTGGTGGCAGGCAATAAAAATAAAACGAGACTTACACTGATTCTCAAATAGAAGTAACTGCATGCCATTTAGTGAGAACGACTGACGAAAACTGTATGAAACAGAGTTCTTCCTCTTCTGAAAAATTTTTGTAACCTGAAAAAAAACATAGTTGATTTAGGTTAATTCATACATCCATATTTTCTCTTTAGATCCATGTGTGCCATACCACTAGAAGGTCATTGAAGAGGAAGACCTCCCTCTGATGAAAGCCCAGTTTTTGTGGTTTGTTTGTGTCGGGTACTTCAAACAGCCTGCAGTAACAAACCAGCCTCCGATGAGGGAGTGACAAAATCTGCAAACAAAAGAAAATCATGTCTGAGTCCATCTGCCTCACATTAGACATTCACATTATTCTACAAAATGTACAGAAAAATGTGTGGGATTTCTCCTGATATTCCGGTTTCCTCCCACAGATCAAAAACATGCATGTTAGGCTGATTGGTAACTCTAAATTGTCCCTAGGTGAGAATGAAAGAGTGAAGAGTTGTTTGTCTTGTTTGTCTCTATGTGTCCCTGTGATGGACTGGAGACCTGTCCAGGGTGTCCCCCGCATCTCGCACAGTGATAGCTGGACATGGGCACCTGTATGTCCAGGATGGATGGATGAATGGATGGATGGTTATATGTATGTCTGTATGGATGGATAGATGAATGGATGGATGGTTATATGTATGTCTGTATGGATGGATGGATGGATGAATGGGTGGGTGGATGGATGGATGGATGGATGGATGGATGTATGTATGTATGTATGTATGGATTGATTGATGGATGGATGAGTGGGTGGGTGGATGGATGGAAAGATAGATGGATGGATTTTTTTATTACTTTCTTTGGTGTCACATGTTTACATACTGTACAATAAAGAATACCATGTTTTTGAAGTTTTTGAGGAAGCTCAGGTAATGATGTCATGGCTTTAGAAGCTTTTGATTGGTTAAGTGACAACATCAGAGTCAGAGTCAGAGTTTCTTTATTGTCATTCGCACCTCATGTGGTACATGTGGTGGAGCGAAATTATGTACACAGGGTCCCAGTTACATCCAACAATAAAATGTATAAGAAAAACAGTAATAACATCTAAGATATGAACTAAGAAAAACATCAACTAAATATACACTAAGCACTAATAGAATAAAAACATTACATCGAACAGCAGCACGAACATGAGTCTGTGTGAGCAGATGAGCACGCCTGAACACATCAACATGGAATAGATCAGCAGCAACATTGAAACAAATCAGCAGCAAAATGAAACAGATCAGCAGCAACATGTGATTTTTCACAGTGATTATTCTAGTTAGAGATTCATGAGTCTAACAGCCTCAGGGTAGAAGCTGTTCCTCAGTCTAGTGGTTCTACACTTAATGCTCCTTAACCTCCTTCCTGAGGGGAGTGGGGCAAAAAGTGTGTGTGCTGGGTGGGTGGGGTCCTTCATGATGCAGGTGGCCCTCTTCCTGCATCTGGAGGTGTAGATGTCTGTGATGGTGGGGAGACTGACTCCAACATCTTCTGTGCAGCCTTCACCACTCTCTGCAAAGCTTTTCTTTCTGCAGCTGTGCAGCCTCCATGCCACACGTTGATGCTGGAGCACAGGATGCTCTCCACTGCACACCTGGAGAAGGAGGTGAGGACTGAGCTTCCCAGACCAGCTCGTCTCAGCTGTCTGAGGAAGTAGAGTCTCTGATGAGCTTTCTTCATCAGGCTGGTGGTGTTGTTGCTCCAGCTGAGGTTGTCATTCATGTGTACACCCAAATACTTGTAGCTGGAGACCACTTCCACTACAGATCCTCTTATGTTCAGGGGGGTGTAGATGTGTTTGTTCCTTCTGAAGTCCACAATCATCTCCTTTGTCTTCTTCACATTGATGTGAAGGTTATTCTCTTTGCACCAGCTCTCCAGGTGTTCCACCTCCTGCCTGTATCTGGACTCATCATTGTTTGTGATGCATCCCACTACCGCTGTATCATCTGCAAACTTTACAATGTGACAGCCTGGATGGGTAGCTGCACAATCATACGTGAGCAGAGTAAACAGGAGGGGGCTCACCACACATCCCTGAGGAGAGCCAGTGCTGAGGGTTATGGTGGAGGAGGAGAAGTTGTGGATCCTAACTAACTGTGGTCTGTTTGTTAACAAGTCTAGTACCCAGTTGCAAATGGAGGGGCTTAGTCCTAGTGCGAGTAATTTGTACATCAGGGTTTGGGGGATCATGGTGTTGAGGGCAGATGTGAAGTCCACAAAGAGCATATGGACATAGGAGGCCTTCTGCTCCATGTGGATAAGCGAAGTGTAGACCACAGAGGAGATGGCATCCTCTGTTGATCGGCTCTCATGGTATGCATACTGATGAGGGTCCTCGTTGATGTTGATGGTTGTTTTGATGTGGGTCATGACCAGTTTTTCGAAGCATTTAGTGACTATCGGGGTGAGGGCCACTGGCCGATAGTCATTCAGACCAGTCACTGTAGAGCTTTTTGGGACTGGGATGATGGTGGCAGTCTTCAGGCAGGTGGGAACTGTTTCCAGGGTAAGTGAGGTGTTAAAGATGTCTGCCAGCACCTCGCAGAGCTGATCGGCACATTCTTTCAACACTTTTCCGTGGATGTTGTCTGGGCCGGTTGCCTTGTGCGGATTAATCCTCTTGAAAGTACTCCTTATTTCTGTTGAGGTCATGCTGAGATGCTCTTCATCAGGTGGTGAGGTGAGTCTGGTGCTGGGTGGTCTGTTCGGGTCTTCAAAGTGTGCATAGAACTTGTTCAGGTCATCAGGCAGAGATGGGTCTTTGGGGCATTGTTCACTCCTTCCTTTATAATCTGTTATGCACTTAATGCCCCTCCACATGCTCCAAGGGTGTTGTGAGGTGAATTGACCCCTGATCCTCTGTGCATATGTGGCCTTGACCTTCTTAATGGGGAGTGGTGGCGCAGAGGTTAGAGAGGTGGGCTTGTGATCCGAAGATCGCCGGTTCACGCCCCGGCCCCGACAACATCAAAATTGTGGGTGGGGTAGGTGAAACACCCACACTTGCCCCCACCCTCATTCGCCCCACTCTGGGCCCATGAGCAAGGCCCTTAACCCCCACCATGTGCTCCCTAAAAAACAGGTCTCTCTTGCAAATGAGTTCTCGTGGCTCAATGAGACTAACCTGGATAAATAAAGGCTAAATGAAAAAAAAAAATTATACCAGCAACTAGCTCTTTCCTTGTCCTTCTCAGCTCCTGTGAGTTTCCAGACCTGAAGGCAGTGTTCCTGGCTTCCAGCAGGGTGCACACCTGTGCATTCAGCCAAGGTTTTCTGTTTGGGTAGCTTTTAACATATCCGATGATGAAGACGGTGTCAGTACATGTACTAATGTATCCCAGAACTGAGGATGCGTATTGGTCCAGATCAAGCGATCCTCCATTTTCAGCAGCTTCTCTGAAAACCTGCCAGTCTGTTCAATCAAATCAATCTCTCAGTATGGGGCCACTGTCCTCTATCAAACATTTAACTTTCTTTTGTACCGGTCTGGAGCGTCTCAGTGGGGGGAGGTAAGCAAGTATCATTAAGATTGAGATGAGATCAGAGAATCCTAGGTGGGGGTGGGGTTCAGCTTTGTATGCATCTTTTACGTTCATGTAAATACGGTCCAGCGTGTTGTTTCCACGTGTTGGTATGCCCACATGCTGTTAAAAGCTTGGGAGGTCTCGAAGGGTGACAGGCCTGTGGCTGAGGAAGTATGTGTGTTATGAACATATTCAACCCATACTAAATGTTTGCACCAATCAGCAAGATTGTTTTCCACCACACACCTCAAGGTTGTTTCTAACCCCTGGTTCCAACGTTCGACTTGTCCGTTAGCTTGGGGGTGGTATCCTGAAGTTGAGCTAACTGTGGCCCCAGAGTGTTACAAAAATTGTGCCATACCTGGGAGATGAATTGTGGTCCTCTATCAGATACCATGTCAGAAGGGATCCCATGAACTCTGAAAACATGCTGAATCACCGCCCAGCGACCTGAAGCGCTTCTCTGGGTGTGCCTTGAAGAACGTAGTGATAAGGCTGAAGTCCAAGATGAATGATCTCGGGATCCATGACCGTTCTTCAGGGCTGTACCCTTCCCAGTCGACCAAATACTGAAACCCCCGACCCCATCACCTTACATCCACGATTCAGCGGACCGCGAAGGCCGGATGGTTGTCGATGAGACGGGGAGGTGGCGAATGGAGGTTGGTGGGAGGGCATAGTGGGCTTTCAGAGATGGGCTTTAGTTGGAACTCGTGGAAGGTGAGATGAATCCTCATCAAAGCAGCAGGTAGCTGGAGTCTGACTGTAGTGGGACTAATTTGATGAGCAATAGGAAAAGTGGGGGGACAACTTACGTGGGGTGTCTTTGAGGTATATGTTCTGGGTCGAGAGCCAAACCCTTTGTCTGACCTTGTAGGATGGGGCTGAGGAGCGCCCCACTGTTTTTAGTTTCCTTTTTGACGTGCCGCATGTTTCTTTCAATTTTGCAGCTTAATACTAATAACTAATAGTTTAGTTATCCTGTGACTTTGCAATATGATAAATGGTAGGAGCATAATATATGCTTCCTATGTTTTGTTGGTCTTTTTTTGTAAATAATTACCTTTTTTGCAGTTTTATTTATTTATGTATTTTTGTATCTTTATATCCTATGATGTCATCAAGTACTCGAGTTCTACTCGAGTTTTATTATGTTAATGTCGAGTTTAAAATTATGTAGTCGTTCAACCCCTAGGCCTGACCCAAAACAACTGTTGTTATCTGAATCTGGCTCCCCGTGTCAACCTTGGAAGGTTGACTATCTCAAATTCTCCTGGATGTTATGTGAACAAGATGCTCTGCTTCCACTACCTGTTCCTTTCCCCAAGGACATCTGTGGACCTGTGTCAGAGGTCTACTGAGGCCGGCTGATAAACAGTGCACCATCACTTATTATGGACTATGGCGGGTGGGGGGGCTATCTGGAACAGTGTTCACGGACTTACAAACGCACCATGCATACACTCACTCACACAGCTATAAACACACCCCTCAACTCGCTGCCTTCGCTGGCCTCCCTCCTTTTGCCCCTCCCCCCAGTGCGATAACCTAGATTGGATGCGAAGCACCAGGCGGCTGTGACGCTTTCTTGGGCGGCCTGTGCTGGGAGCCCCCTCCCACTTCACCCTCATCCACTCCACATGCATATGTTTTATTATGTCATCTGTATGTTGCTTTTTGTGTTGAGGTTCTTTTTTAACCAACCTAACAAGACATGGTGTGAAATTCGATTTGGGTAATTTTCAGCGAAGGTTTTATGGAAATAAAGTAGAATTCTGCTGCATTCAAGCAGCTGAAAGGCAAACTTTCCAACTTACCAGCTTATTCCTGACAATCAGTTTTTCCACACTTTGAACCTGGGAAACATGGTCTTCATTAGTTTTGAGCTCTTGCTTGCGAATCCGCTCATATACCCCCACCAACATCGTTTGGGGAATGTCCTCCCCATCATCCACTCCTGTCAGAGCAACAAAGATGGGGTTATGATCAATTCCAGATTTATGGGTGATGCTGAGCTGCCCATGGACCTCACACAGCAGGTGAAAATCTCCTGCACTTGATTTACAGACTGTTCAGAGGACTGTAGTCATATAATATAGCCCATCACTAATATCCACAAAGTCTGTTCACGTTCACTAAGTGCTTTTCCTCAACAAAAACCCACTATTAACAGAAAAAGTGAATGTGATGGAGAGCAAAGTACCTCGAAGGTTTTTAACAAAGTCTTCCAGTGTCATCTTCCTTTCTGGTTTGATGTTGGGGCTGTACATGTCAGTGTTGAGGAGGATGATGGCAAAGGCAAGGATGAAAATGGTGTCAGGGTTCCTGAACTGTCTCATCATGCCAGGGTTGCAGATGCAATAGCGTTGACTGCAAAGACACAGAAACTTTACAGACAGTTGGATTGTGTTCATAGTATGTAGTACTTATTATCACTGATGAGTCCCAACTTATCCTAACTTATTAACCAGGAGAAACTCATTGAAAACAAAAATCATTTTCAAGAGTATTCTGGCCAAAACTGGCAACAAAACACAAAATTACATTAAAAAAAAAAAACCTTTACCAACAATTATAATCTGCATTTAAAGAAAACAAAACTCTTTACATCTTTTGTATAACAAATGCCACAAAATAAAACTGACTTGTTTAATCCTTGAGCCTACCATCATCCCAGAAAATCCACAACAGCTCCCTGTGTGTACATGGTACTTAAAGAATATGTACTTAACGCAAATCCTCTTACGACATGTACACAGTAAGTACCGGTTACATAATTTCTGAGTACCAGTAACATAATGTTGATATGTACCCCGTATGCACTAAATACAAACCCCATAATTACCAGATACATTCTCTGTAAGAACAAGATATGTCCCCATTATGTACAAGGTATATAACCTGTAAGTAATGGGTATGTACCCTGTAAGTATCAGGTACACAGCCTGTATGTATCAGGCATATACACTTTAAGTAACAGCTACATACCTTGTACTGGGTATGTACCTTGTAAGTATCAGTTACATACCCAGTAGGTATCAGGTACAAACCCTTTAAGTAAAACAGGTAAATATTGTATTTTCTGGTGTATAAGTCACATTTTTTTTGCATAGATTTGTCAGTCCTGCGACTTATATACTTTTTTTCCATATTCATAACAATTTTTGATTGATGCTTTAAATTTCTAAGAACTGCAACAGTGAGTCCACCTGTGCACACTCGCTTCACTCAGCTGGGGCAGGAGGAAGAACGCTGGAAAGCTAGTGGCTCCGGCCGCGACGGATGGATGGATGGATGGATGGATGGATGGATGGATGGATGGATGGATGGATGGATGGATGGATGGATGGATGGCGCCATGCCACCCAGGTGAAATTAAGCTGTTTTGACCATTAAAGTGCCTTTATTAAGGAAAAGTTCAACTGAGACACACCTTTGCTATAATGTCAAGCAAACAATTGTTTGTAAGAGTTAATCTAGTGAAATTTCAAAGAACTGCAACAGCGAGTCCTCCCGTGTGCGCTCGCTTCTCGCAGCTGGTGCAGGCAGAAGAATGCTGGAGAGCTAGTGGCTCTGGCCGTGATGAATGGATGGATGGAGCTGCACCGCCCTGGCGAAATGAAGCTGTTTTGACTGTTAAATAAACGCATAATAGACGCATAATAAACACATAATAAACGCATAATAAACACATATTAAACGCGACGGATCAGCAGTGATGCATCATAAATGTGACTTATACGCCAAAGCGACTTATATATGTTTTTTTTTTCTCTTCATGATGCTTTTTTGACTAATGTGACTTATACGCTGGAATGACTTATATGCCGGTACGGTACCCAGTAAGTATCAGGTACATACCCTTTAAATAACATGTAAATACACTGTATGTATCAGGTAGATACCATTTAAGTAACAGGTAAATAGCCAGTAATGATCAATTACATGCCCGTTATGTATCAGGTAGGTATTAGGTACCCCTCCTTATAGGTATCAGGTATGTACCCAGTAGGTATGAGGTACATGCCCTATAAGTAACAGACACTGTAAGGCCAGCCTTTGAGAACCCAGCTTTGTAGTACTTCTGGGCAGCCTGAAACATTTTAGTCTCTGCTATCTAAAAAGAATAGCAGCCACCAGCTGGTGATCATCAATCAGTCTGAACTTGTACTGAAGATTTTTACCTGTAGGCCTCGATCAGCCGCTCAACCTTCTGTGCCTCTCCCTGCACTCTGATCTGGGCCTGGAATTTCCTAAGTCCTTCATCCAGTTCCAGACCCGAGAAGTCCATTTCATCCACCACACAGCTGGAGAATCAGACATGAATGATTATAACAGTAAGGACACAGACACATTCAGGCATGCCACTGTTAAAAACTCCTCAGAAACTTCACACAAACTGCCTTCCTTGCTTATCAAAAATAATTCAACTGTTAGACTGATAACTCTTTGTTTTTAGTTGCTGACTAGTTTGACTTTGATGTAAAAACATTTGAATTATTAACCCTACACGATTTAATTTAAACAAAATATTTTTTTCTAGTTGTTCTTCCGACACATTTAAAAAGTTAAGACGGGGGAAATTTTCTTGCTAATAAAAGAAGTGACTCACCAGTTTAGCACTTTAATACGTTGATAGGTACCAAGTTAGGTAGTGTTTGTTTGTTCTTTGTTGTTAATTGTTGTTTTATTATCACACAAGTGTACAGAAAGATTATACAGTACAGTAAGAAACACAAGTGTACCACAAAATTGACAAATGCATAAACAGCTTTTCAAACATTCACATTTCAGTTTACAAGTAAGAATATTCTGAGCACACAAAAATCAACTGCATGTGCAGTAATCATCTGCTGTGCACGGATCAGCTGCCTGTGAATGTGACTTTTAACTTTATTGATGCTCCAGATTCACAAATAATGCTGCATTCAAGGCTGGGAAAAAGCTGGGAAATCTAAGCCTTACCAGGTTTATTGTTATTGTGAAAAGACTCATTTCTAACTTGGCACAATAATGTATAACCCCATATATTTAAACACATTTATATTAAAACACATCTATATTAAAACACATATATTAAAAATATCTATATTAACAAAAACATATGCTTACATTGACGTTACTGAATTCCAAAAATGTTAATTCTGTGAACTGTATGATTAAGATAAACACCCTAAAATGAGCTTATTCTTCATGTGAAAGATTTATCAGGAAAAATACATATTTTACTAGAAAATATATCTTCCTAGTAGCTTTCCTACAAGTTTTCCTAAGTTTGTAATTTTTATTTCAGCTGTACAGTCCACATAGTGAACATTTTCTTCTTATGGAAAAACTACTGGAAAAAATCTAATTTCTGGTATTTTTGTGTGAACTGTAGATTTGAAATATCCATCCATTATCTTTACCCGATTCTTTCTTTTCAGGTTGCGGGGGTCACTGGTGCCCATATTCAGCCAACACTGTGAGAGAGGCGGGGGACACCTGGACAGGTCTCCAGTCCATCACAGGGACACACAGAGACAAACGAGACAAACAACCGTTCATTCTCTCTCTCACTCACACCTAGGGACAATTTAGTTACAAATCAGACTAACATGCATGTTTTTGGTCTGTGGAAGGAAACTGGAGTACCTGGAGAAAATCCACACAGCACGGAGAGAACATGCAAACTCCACCCAGAATGGTCCCAGGCTGGGATTTAAACCGGTGACTTTCTCGCTGAGAGGCGGCAGCTCTACCAACTGTGCCACCCTACATTTGAAATAAATTACTCACAATAGTTAGGTTGGAAAAGGGTGGATTGCTCTGTTCAGGGTGAGGTTCTGTCCCAAGTGGAGGAGTTCAAGTATCTTGGGGTTTTGTTCAAGAGTGAGGGAAGAACGGAGCGTGAGACTGACAGAGGAATTGGTGCAGCATCTGTGATATTGCGGACTCTGTACCGGTCCGCTGTGGTGAAGAGGGAGCTGAGCTGTAAGGCAAAAGCTCTCTGTTTATCGGTCAGTCTAGGTTCCTACCTTCACCTATGGTCATGAACTCTGGGTAGTGACCGAAAGAACGAGATCTTGGATACAGGTGGTTGAAATGAGTTTCCTCTGCAGTGTAGCTGGATTCTCCCTCAGAGACAGGGTGCCAAATTCAGTCATCAGGAGAGACTCAGAGTAGAACCGCTGCTCCTCCACATCGAGAGGAGCCAGTTGAAGTGGTTTGGGCATCTGGTAAGGATGCTTCCTGGGCGCCTCCCTAGGAAGGTGCTTATGGCATGTCCGACTGAGACCCCAGGACACGCTGGAGAGACTATGTCTCAGTTAACCTGGGAACGTCTTGGAGTCCTCCCAGAAGGGTTGGAAGAGGTGACTGTGGAAAGAGATGACTGGACCTCCCAGCTCAAGCTGCTGCCCTCAAGACCTGATTTCAGAACAAGAGGAAGATAATGGATGGATGGATGGATGGATGGATGGATGGATGGATGGAAAATAGGTTATTCTTCCTTTGCAAAAACTACTGGGAAAACACATTTTCTGGTATTTTCTTTCTCTCCAAAAAAATAGTGATTTGTCCATGTCTTCAACTATTTGTGTGTGCACGATATTTATACTTGTGCAATTTGAAATGTGTACATTTGAAAAAGTATTCATGCATTTGTAAAACTTATGGTATGCTTGTGGATATTTTGTATGCATACAAGTCTTGTTTGTTTGTGTGACTACTTTTGAGACCAATTTATCTTCGTATAGAACTGAATATTCTGCTTTCTGGAGACAACTGCACAATTCTGTGTGCAGCATTACGTGGTAAATTCAATCATAATCCATTTAGATATGCAGGTATACCAAGGGGCTGGCCAAACAGAAATACTCACTCGAGGACGTCTCGGTTGAACTGCTTCTGTCTGTTACCCAGGAACTCGCCAATCATCTGCCTACTCAAGCCTTTTCTTTGTAGCAGGAAGTGGGCCACGCCCACTGGAGTGTCCTGTACAAAGTTCTGCTCCATCATATATTGAATGCCTTTTTCTGGTTTCCTAAAACATAAAGGTGAGTCAAAGTAAAATCAAGAGAAAGAAAAAAGGGGGTGAAGACACAATCCAAAACTTTGATCATCCCACTGTACTTCCACTCTGGCTCACTGTTTGTCAGCATCAGGACAGGATTTATGGAGGCAGAAAGTAAGAGAAGTGGAGAGGAGTTTGAGAAGAGAAGTTTGAGATGCTGATTGCATGTTCTAGAAGAAACCAAACAACCCAGTCAACATGAAGTGCAGCAGAATGAGACTCACGCTTAGAAGTCATGTAAATGTGTTTTAATCAGCATCACTGCTGGGTATTATTCATCTGTTGTCATTAAGGGATTTTTGGACTTTCTTTGGTCCTAAAATTAAAAAAAAAAGTTTGTTTTTTCATAAATACTATTTTGTATTAATTATTGGTTTGTAATTTGTTATGTCATTGGGAGAACCTAGTTTTGAGAACCTGTTCACACTTGCTGCTGAACACTGTTCTGAGTAATTGGACTGTATTTGAACAATGCTCTGTCTGAGTGACCTCAATGAGCACTGGAAGTGTTTATCAGATGTAGAATTATTGTCTGAGAGTCAAAGTGATGCCCAACAGATTTACTTTCACAAGCAGATCATTATGGCTGGCCTTAATGCTCCGCTTCATATATAAATAAAATTTTATTAGAATTTGCTTTGGGCTTGTTCCAAATGTAACGGACATGGGGATGAAAAACAAGAAAACAAAGCAGAAAAGTTGGAGAAGGGTTAAAATGTAAAGAAGGAGATAGCAATAGAGGAGAGAGATAAAGAGAACACAAATCAACATCATTGAAGTCTGACTCTAGACCTGCGGAAAGAAAAAAAACAAGACAAAACCGAGAAACCACAACAACAAACAACATATATAATGATACTTGTAACATCATTAGAAAGTATTTTATACAGTACATGGTAATACAATATATATTTGATGGCCATCACAACCCAACTGAGTGTGAATTTGATAAACACCTGAATCTAAACACCTGTGTGAGCATGATGTCACTATAAGGTTTCTCATAAAAATGTTCAATAGTGGATGTGGGGACCCACAGACCCATCCCCACAGGACATGAGGGTAGCACAGGGAAGACTGGAGCCACAGACACTTAGCGGTCCCCAAGCCCAGAGCCCCGGGAGTCCCCCAACAGGGACACCCACACCCCCCATAGAGAGAAGCAAAGGGAAGCCCCGGGCGATCCCCAGCAACCACAATGTAGAAACCCCAGGAGGCTGCAGCAACGAGTCCACAGGTCCCGCCGGCAACCCGCCACTCCAGAGTAGATCCGGTCATGGACACCAAGCCCCGAGGTCATACCACCCCCCAACAGAGGCCCAACAGAGCCAGGGCACCCAGGCCCCAGCAGGCAGCCACCAGGGCAGGCCTGCACACACCCCACCACCCAGTCCCAGATGCTGAGCTGCCAATGCACTGACGGCATGGGGAGCACCACTGGAGGGGAGTGCGATGGGGGGAGTTGACCCTACATTAAATGGGGGGGCCCAAATTGATCCAAGAGAGGGGACCACCTAAAACCCAACCCGAGACATAAACAGGCACACAGAGACAGCCTGACAGAGCCTCTGTCGGGCCATCCATGCGCCCCACCCACCCGACAGCGACCACAAGCCAGCCCCAGGCCGGGGACCAGAGCAGCAGGGAGTAGCAGATGAGGAAGGCCGGCCAACGCACCAAGGATCAGGCACCCCAACAGCCCCAGACCACAGGCCTGGAGAAGCCCCGGCATGCCACCTATGCACCCCCCCCACACACACACACACACAGTACCCCCCACTGCGAATGTCACATCAGGCCAACCAGCCAGCACCCCGTCAAAGCAAAGCTACGCCCCAGACCGCTGCTATACACCACCAACGACCACACACACACAACCACAGATGACTCCCCGCCGGAACCCGGCAGCCACCCCAGCCAAAGGGCCGACCATTGCAACCAGGAGCCCTGATCAAAAGATCCAAACAACCCAGGGAGAACCGGAGCCCTGGCCCCATCCCCAATCGCCCCCCTGGCCCAACGCCCACCCACTGCCCAGACTCCAACCAGGCAGCCTACCCCCCTCCCTGCCCCCGATCCCAAATGTCAAACGGAGAACGAGGGTTTAAGAGGAAAAAAATAGGTTAGAAATTTGTCTAACAGGACATTGACACAACCTGAGAAAGATGTGTTGGCAAAATGACTAAATTTTGCCATCTCTCCATAAGAAATACCTGTTGTGGAACTAATCACGGCCACTGAATCTGCAATTAGGAACAACAACTTGACGGAAGCAGAGGCAGAATAACTCAGAATGAAAATATTAGCAACTCTCTCCAGTGCCAAACCGCCTCCTTCAAACCTCACACCACAGGAAAGGAAAGCTGTAACATCACTCAGCCAGGACCAAAACATCACCATTTTACCAGCTGATAAAGGAAGATGCACAGTAGTCCTCAACACTTCTGATTACCAGGAAAAAATAACTACACTACTGAGCGACCGTAACACCTACGAGACCCTGAAGAGGGACCCAACCAGTGCCTACAAAAAGAAAGTCACAGATTACCTGCAAAAACTTGAAAAGGAGAAAACAATCAATCGATCTTTGTATTATAGATTGTACCCAGGGGAAGCCACTCCCTGTCTTTATGGACTCCCAAAAATACACAAAGAAGGAACACCACTCAGACCCAACGTCAGCAGCATGAACTCAGTGACATACAATATTGTTAAACATCTGGCTGGTATTTTAGCTCCTCTTGTTGGAGACACACCTCGTCACATAAAGAACTCCATTGATTTTGCTAACAAAGTTCAACACTTGAAACTAACCCCAAGAGAAATCCTTGTATCGTATGATGTGACTTCTCTTTTCACATGCATACCCATCTCTGAAGCAGTAGAAACCGTCAGAAAACAACTTCTACAAGACAAGGACTTAATCAACAGGACCAACTTCACCCCAGACCAGATCTGCACCCTGTTGGATCTCTGCCTCTCCACCACTTATTTCAAGTTCAATGACAGTTTTTACAGACAGAAGCACGGCTGTGCCATGGGATCTCCAGTGTCACCCATTGTTGCCAATCTCTACATGGAGGAAGTGGAACAGAGAGCCCTACACTCCTATGAGGGAACAACGCCAAGCCATTGGTTCAGATATGTGGATGATACCTGGGTCAAAACCCAAGCTAAGGAAATAGAAGCGTTCACCAGACACATTAACTCGGTCGATAACAACATCAAGTTCACCAGAGAGGATGCAAACAACAACAAGCTACCTTTTTTGGACTGTTTGGTTCAGATGGAGAGAGAGGACAGCCTCAACATTGAAGTTTACAGAAAACCAACCCACACAGACCAGTATCTTCTGTTTGACTCCCACCATCCACTGGAACACAAACTCTCTGTCATCAGAACTTTACAACATCGGGCCGAACGCATCTCCACGAAGACAGAAGGGAAGGAAAAGGAACAGAAACACATCCAAGATGCTCTTCAAACATGTGGATATCCTAACTGGGCTTTTGTCAAGTCAGAGAGGAAATCTACAAAACACACCAATAAACAGAAAAAGGAGAACAACAGACGTAAAAACATTGTCATCCCTTATGTTGCTGGAGTATCAGAGAAATTCAGAAGGATTTTCAACAAACACAAGATCCCAGTACATTTCAAACCCAGCAGGACTCTCAGACAGAGGCTGGTCCACCCTAAGGACAAGACACCCATACACAAACAGAGTGGTGTAGTGTATGTGGTCCAGTGCAGCGAGGACTGTCCAGACCTCTACATTGGAGAAACTAAACAGCCTCTTCACAGACGCATGGCTCAACACAGGAGAGCCACCTCCTCAGGACAAGATTCAGCTGTTCACCTCCACCTCACAGAGAAGGGACACTCTGTTGAGGAACAAAACGTGCACATTTTGGACCGAGAACACGGATGGTTTGAGAGGGGTGGGGGGGGGGGGGGGGGGTGAAGGAAGCAATTTATGTTAAAAGAGAAAAACCATCTCTTAACAGAGGAGGAGGCCTCAGATTTCCACTTTCAAAAACATATAATGCAACTTTAAGATTGATTCCCAGCCAGTTTCACACCTGATGGGAACAGAGGGGCCTCGTCTGTGAATTAGAGAAACCTTAAGAAACCCCTACTGTTAAGGTGTGAGGTGTGATTTGTCAATTTACATAAGTATGTGTATCTGATCTCGGCCTTATAACCTGAACCCCACACTCACTGCTCTTTGAATTGAGAAAGCTCCTCGGATGAGGAGAAATACGTCTTCTGTTTCAAATAAAGTCCAGATGTTTATGTATTGAACGTTTTTGAATTAAGAAAGTTATTTTTTGCTACTTTTCCTGTGCATTAGCAAAGATTTTTTTCAACAGCTGGGAAATCCTTATGTTTAAATCTGTTTGAGGTTTCCTCTTTTAAAATGACATCAATAAATCCTCATTAGGAAACACTAAAAACAGGAATCAGACCAATTGTCTAGGAATTATCCTAAATATCAAGACAAATCAAGCCACATCTCTGGAACCACTCATAATATCAATATTATCTGGGTATACAAATGTAGCTTTAAAAGCCAAAAATCTGAAAATGTCTTTAGTTTGACCAAATCTTACTTAATCTCTGATTTGGTGCAATGGGTCATATTAGATAGATATAAATTAGATACTGGGATCATTTGGCAAACAGCACTTGCAAAGGGGTCTATAAAATGTGAAATGTAAAATTGCATGAACTGCAACAGCTCACAGTCTCATTGCTTGAATTTTAAATGTAAGAAAAAAAATCCTTGAGACAATTATTTTTCTATTCACAGAAAAGTTGCGTGCATTTTAAACCCTACTTAGTTTTGTTGCTAGTTGTCTAAATGTCCAGGTCTACAAACAGCACTGATAATAAATAATAATTATTTATAAACACTGGTCCAAATCTATTTTCTATTTTAAAGAACTCATAAAGATGAAATCATAAATGTGGGTGCAGCTGCTGAGATACAAAGCAGGCAGAGAAGCCTAAAATGTTTAGTGGGAAATGAAGTAATGTGCACAAACAAGAATATAGTTTTGCACACAAAAACTTTGTAATTTTCCAAAATGGTCTGTGATTGAAAACACTCAGAATTCAATGCAGACAAATTTTGAATCCCCAACTCTTGCACAAAACATTTGAGTGAAAAGCCTCCACAGACCAGTCCAGGTATTCATCACAGATGGAGCAGTCCACGTCCCGCAAAGACATGAGCTTTCAGAAATAAAGCCAGCATTACCAAACCTAAAGAGACGTTGATGTGGAGAGCCATGCTATAAACGTCTGACAAACATCTTTCTTGAACCATTTAACCAAATTAACGATTTGGTTTTGCAAATCTTTTTGAAAGCACTTTCTCCTCTGTGTGGTTAAATACATTTTTAAGCTAAATCCAAAGTCACTGTGCATCATCAGCGATTTTTCCTCAGTAATAAATTTGTTTGTTTAATCCCAAGACTGAATGGTCACACAGACCATTTATCATCCGTTCATCACACTTTTGAGTTGCAAAGTCATTTTACCTTCTCACCTGTGAATAATTCTGGCACAGAGGCACATCTAGAATTGCACCGCTCAAGGTGGCTGCATGTTGGAGCAGCTCTGTTACTTTCATTCTGAGATTTTGCTTTTGGAAACTTTAATTCCTCTTTTTCTGGATGTAAATCACATTTTTTGGATGATTGTTTCCTCTGGTATCAGTTGCTGAGCAGCTGGAAGGATTTTCACTGAAACTTTTTTAGTTTAAGACATTTGTTATGATGCGTAACCATGGCAACAAGGCAGTTTTCTACAACCAACAGCAGCTGATTAACATGTCAAAAGTTCAAATAATATCTCAACTACAGCCTCAAATGAGTTGAAAAGGATGTTCTGTGGACGCATTCTCATCTACCTGCCAGCTGTGCTCGAGTGCCTGACCACTGAGATCCTGGAACCAGCAGGAAACATGGCTCATGACAGCAGAAGGACAGGATCGTCCACCTACAGTCCGCAGTAATGAGGAGCTCGGCAGACTGCTGGGAGGAGTGACCATCGCTCTGGGAGGAGTTCTGCTCTGCATTCAGGCGGTCCTACAGCCTGGAGGAACTGAGAGGCCAGCCGAGTCTGGGTGCACAGATTGGACAGCATCTGCAGCCAGTTTCTTATGATCCACTGTGGGATGGACCTTTACAAGAGATCCTTCCTGTCTACAGCCATCAGTATCTATAACATCCCTTAATGAAATGAGGATAATGAGTTACAACAACAAATAATTTCCCTTTGGGATTAATAAAGTATTTTTGAATTTGAATCAGGGGTGGGTTGGCTTCAGTCCCCGTCCACGCCTGGCTCCATTCAAAAATCACACCGAGGCAGTCAGAAGGTCTCTTGAGTCCTTGCTTGATGTGTTTTGTGAAAAAGCCGACTGGCTGGCGTGTGAAGTCACTAATCAATGGATTATTTTTCTTCCAAGTAGTTGAGAACATCAATATGCTACAATGCAACTCAAATAGCTCTAAATTGTGTTAAGGTCAGAAAAATAATATAGTTCAGTTGTCTGAATGTATTGTTTTAACAGAAACTGCTGATGTTCAGCCTCTCATCAGGAGGCTGTGTGTCTACATGTTCTGGGTGTGAATGCCATCAGCCTGAACTGACCACTTGCAGTTAAATCACTGAAAACAAATCTAAATTCCCAGAGGTGAACTGGGTCTCAAGCTTCTCTGTTAGATTGAGTTGTGTCTTTGCCTGTGAACCCAGTGACGTATACATACTTGTTGAAGAGATTCAGACCAATGCGGTAGTGTCTTTTGCGAACGATATCATTGCTGAACGCTGGTGAGTCCCATCTGTTGCAGGTTTCCTTGTGGTAAGTCTGTTTGGTGAGCGTCTGCTCCCTCAGGCTGTCCCTGGAAGAGGACTTTGAACTGCAATTGATGGTGTCATTGGAGTTTGATGTGTTGATACTGTCATTGTCACCATCTGATAAATTTGAGTCTGACTTGCTCTGCAGGTTTGCAGTACCACTGATAGCTAGGTGGGTCTCCATCTGTTGAGGATGATGTGCTGAGGTCTTTTCTTCTTTAAAAGGCCCCCAAGGCAGCGGGCTGTGGCTGATGTGTTGGGAGATGCTCTGCTGGTTGCTTACACTTTGATTGTATGTAATTTGTCTCTTTAAAGAGCTGCAGTCTGAACAATCATGCAACTCCACCAGGTTCTTGCTAGGGGGCTCTATGGTCAGTGCGGGAAGGTGATCTACCCACAGATGCTGCTCCTGACACTCTAAGTAAGGTGTATTGTGGCTGCTTGTACTCATGTTTTCTTTTTCATTCTTGTGCACCAGGGAACAGTAGTCGTGGGAGGAACTGAGGAAAAGTTGGTGTGAGTCTGATTCTGTACTGGAATGCCAGTCCACAAACTGAGACAGAGGAAGGGTGGGAGATAACTCCTCCTCGTCGATGTAAAGGGTGACATCACTGTAAGATGCTGTCATCTCTTTAGAGTTGTGGGAGGCTTTTATCTTACAGCGCTGTTCTCTGTCTGTGTCCTGATGGGCTCTCTTTGGCTTTGATTGGCTGTCCTCTCCGTGTAGGCTGTGGCAGTTCAGAGCATCATCTATGGACTCAGCAAGAGACTTGACTTGCCTTGAGAATGTATCTTCCAGTTCTGTAATGACATCTGGGAAGTTGTTCTGTGTTGTTGGTGTCTTGTTCTGCATACACCTCTCTCCTCTGAGTTCAGAATGCACCGGTGCACCTACTTTACCATCATCCGTTAGTGAGACCTGCTTTCCTTCAAGGTAGGAGCTGTGGAATTTTTCAGGTCCTTTGAAGGAAAGTTGCATTCTCATATTGGACAGAATAATCTGTGTGGACGTATGGTTCTCAGGCATAGAACTTCTAAGACACTCGGAGTTCTTGTTCATTTGGTACTGGCGAAAGGCTGTTTGGATGGTACGTGCAGCATGCCGAGTAATAAAACGTCCACCGTATTTAAACTCTAGCATCTCCACCTGAAAGAAAAAAAAAGTTGTTGTAGATTTCTAAAAGTAGTACAGTAGTCACAATAAATAGCCAATTGACTTTTTTCTTAAATGTCTTTTAGGACCACACAAAATAACGAGTACACAGAGCCTTCACAAGTGATGCTTGAATGTAAAAAAGGCCTAGTATTCCTTGAAAGAATGCATATCCCCCACTTCCTTTCAGATAAGCGTTTTAAACGAAATCATGAAAAACAACATTATGCACAATGTCATGCAATATTACATGGTTTATGTTATTGTTTATTGGATTTATTGTTATTGTTCTTGAAATGCTATAAAATAGTTTTGATTTTAACAGATAATGCAAAAACAAATTTAAGCAAAAAATCTTGCACAATGAGTAACTTGTGATGCAAATGACTCTTGGGTGCAGGATCTACAAATTGCAGCACAACATCTGTAAAATTGACTGAACTATAGTATCTTTTCTGTTTGCTAAGGTAAATTGGCTGTGGCATGTATCTTGATTTGGGTTGACTTCCAAAGTTATCCCATTTCCTAAAAGTTTCATTTAAATCTGTCCAGTAGTACACACGATATTTTGTGAACAAATGGACAGAGTTGACTTAAAATGGTTAATGGCAAGATTTAAAATGAAGATCTTGTGTTATTTGATTAGACTCACAACATGTGTGATGGATCAGACTCAGCTACTGCCACACAAAATTTTAACTCAATTTCTGTTAAACTCATTGAGTGGTAGCCATTTTTCTGTTTTAAAGGTCAGTTGGCTGTGTCTGCACATTGAAGTGGTTGACTTCAAAAGGTAATCAGTTGTAGATGTACAGCCCATGATGACAATCTGCAAGTTTCATTAAAATGTGTGCAGTGGTTGATGAAATCCTTTGGTAACAGACACAAAAACAATCAAAAATAGAAACGGGCAAACATATCACTGTAAACCATAAAGAAGGGTGGATGCAGGTGTTGTCTCCTTTAGACTGCTCATTTTTGCTACTGCCTCCAGCCCCAACATGTTTCAAATATATATATTCTTCTTCCTTTGGCTTTTCCCTCTTCAGGGATCGCCACAGCATGTCATCCTTCTCCATCTCACTCTGTCCTTTGCATCCTCTGGCCTCACCCCAACTAACTCCGTGTACTCTCTAATTGCATCCATATATCTCTTATTTAGCCTTCCTCATTGTCTTTTTCCTGGCAGCTGCATTTCTAACATCCTCTACCAGTATACCCACTGTCCCTCCTCTGGACATGGCCAAACCATCTCAGTGTGTCCTCTCTAACCTTATCTCCCAGTTATTCAATCTGTGCTGTGCCTCTGATGATCTAATTCCTAATCTTATCCATCCTTGTCACTCCTAAGGAGAACCTCCCACCTTCATGTGTGTTGCTAGAGAGTCCACAGTCCTGATAACAGCTGCTCTAGCTCTCTGATGCAACTGCACATAATTCAAGCTTCGACATATCCACACAAATTTGTAAACAATCCAGAATTCACCAACCAATCAGCAAAAAAAAAACAAAAAAACAGTTGTCATCATGGATCCAGTTTGTTTCCGTCGCAGTAAGAGGGTCCTCCTTACCCTGACTCCTGTCTGGAGAAGTTGATCAATTTTGTTGAGAGACCAGCTGATCTTTCGAATTAGGAAGGTTAGACAGAAACCTGGCTACAAAAGGAGGATTTTGTTGGTATAAATGAATCCACTCCTGTTACTTATTTAAATTTTCATGTTCCTAGAACAACTGGCCGATGTGGAGGAGTAGCTTCTATTTTTCAGTCAGGATTATATAAATTGTCTACCATCTTCTGCCTCTGGTCTATCTCCTTTCTACACCATGTATGGTTTTCAACCTCCAGTGATCACCATCCAAAAAAGGGAAGCTGAAATTCCTTCTGCTCATCAAGCTGCGCTTAGGTGCCAAAGAGTGTGGAGAATGGCCAAGAGACATCTCTCTAAAATGTCTACCGTTTATGTCAAAGGGGCCAATCGTCGCTGCTCTCCTAATCCTCCCTACCAGGTGGGCCAAAAGGTTTGGCTGTCCACTAAGGATCTTCCCCTCCGGGTGGAGAGTTGCAAATTGGCACCTTGTTTTGTGGGACCCTTCCCCATATCCAAGATCATCAACCCCGTGGCTGTAAGATTACAGCTTCCCCGGACACTCAAGATTCACCCCATGTTTCACGTATCTTGTATCAAGCCTCTACTGCTCTCTCGTTTTGAACCCTCTTCCAGGCCCCCTCCTCCTGCTCGACTGATCGATGGGTCCCCGGCCTTCACTGTTAGGAGACTCCTCCACTCCAAACGGTGGGGTAGGGGCATACACTATTTGGTAGACTGGGCGGGTTATGATCCTGAGGAGCGGTCTTGGGTTCCTGCATGCAACATCTTGGACAAGGACCTCATCAAGACCTTTCACACCAACCATCCTGATCAACCTGGAGGTCCATCAGGCGCCGGACCTTAAAGGTGGGGTTATGTCACACTTCTAACAAGTCATGCTCTGTTTTCCTCTGTCATGCTCTGATCTCGAGCCTTGCTTTCAAGCCACGCCCCTCTGCACCTCCACACAATCAGGCTCATTCTCTCCACCTGTTCCAAGCACAATTTAAGCCTCATGCTCACAGCCACACTCTGCCAGATTATCGAATCCCTTGTGGTTATTGATGTCCAACATTCATGTCACAGTTCTTTTGGTTTGCCTGATCTTGACCCCACACCTGTCTTTTTGGATTGTTGAATTGCCTGCTCCTTGCCTGTTACTGTTTCACCCCTCTCATCACGGCTCTGACCTACTCTTCTGGATAAATTACTACGTCTCTTGGATGACCCTCTTGGAAACAATATTGGACCTCTGCCTCCTCTGTACCGACTCTCTGCTCTACTCCTGGATATTGCCTCTGGATCTCCCCAAACTACCTCTCTGCAACAATCCTGCTTGCTACGGTGAAATCACCCTGTCCAACATTATCAGGTGGAACTCATCTCATCTGAATAAGAAGGTCAGTGGATGCACTTCTGTTCTCAAGTCTCGCCACACAACCCTTCAGTCCACCAACCTCTCATATCTCTGCAGATTGGGCTCGCTCCAGGACTTCCACCTCCACCAGCAGTGTTTTCTTAATAAAGTATTTGAACCATTCCTGTTGCCCGGTCTCTTGCTCAAATCCAAATACACAAATCCTAACACATTTTGGATCTAATTTATTTGTCTTTAATGAATGGTTATGTACCACAGCGCTTAAAGGTTGCTGTAATTAAACCTTTACTTAAGAAGTCTGATCTTGATTCAGAAATTCTGGCCAACTATAGACCTATATCTGATCTAACTTTCATCTCAAAAATTCTAGAGAAAATAGTTGCAGGTCAGTTGCGTGAACATCTACAAAGAAATAATCTGTTTGAAGAGTTTCACTCAGGGTTTAGAACTCATCCTAGCACAGAAACAGCACTAGTAAAAGTCACTAATGATATTCTCATGGACTAGGACAATGGACTTGTGTCTTGTGCATAATATCACTAACATTAGAAACATCTGATCTAAAGATGATGCAGAAAAACTGGTTCATGCATTTGTCACGTCTAGACTGGACTATTGCAATGGTTTATTATCTGGGTGTCGAAATACTTCTTTAAAACGTCTTCAGTTGATCCAAAATGCTGCTGCCAGAGTCTTAACTGGAGTTAGTGGGAGAGATCATCTCTCTCCAGTTTTAGTTTCTCTCCATTGGCTCCCTGTCAAATCCCGAATAGAATTCAAAATCTTACTTCTAACCTACAAAGCCCTCAACAACCTAGCTCCATTGTATATTACAGATCTTATTGTTCCTGTTTTGTATTTGTAATTATTTTTTCTATCCTTAACATGTGTTTTTTTTTGTCTTTCAGATACACCTGGACCTATACCTGGACCTACCATTCTGTGTTCGTCTGTCTCTCCTTCCTGTCCTCTCAACCAGCCGGTCAAAGCAGATGGTCTCTTGTCCTGAGCTGGTTCTTCTGGAGGTTTCTTCCTTTTAAAAGGGAGTTTTTCTTTCCACTGTCTCCACTGTGCTTGCTCAGGATGGGAGACTGCAACGAAGCCAAGGTTCAACTTGTCTGCTGGATTCCTTAGATAAACTTTACTAATTGGCTTTTATGTGAATGTTCCTGTAAAGTGCCCTGAGACAACTTTGTTGCGATTTGGCGCTTTATAAATAAACTGAATTGAATTTAATTGAAAAAACTGTCCTGTGTGTGCTGATTAATCACAAATGTTACCTCCAAAATTAAAAATGTTTCAATTTTCAATCAAAAAAGGCATATTTGTCTATGACACAAAATCTTAAACTAATCTTGACAGCTGTAAGGCTTTGCAAGCTTTTTATTTATTTTTATTTTTTTCAAATGCTGGGTGTTGCAGTCTGCTCAGAAAAGTTCTGACCTCTGACCCCCAGTGTAATTTTCATTTATTTAACAAACATTATGATCAGCATTATTCAAATCACATTTATAGTATTTATATATTTTTAAAGGTATCAACAGTCAGAGGTTTGTGTCCATACCCCTCTCACCTGCTTGTGCTGGACGTTAGAGGGCTCATAGTTCTCTGACAGCAAGCGCGAGTCCTTAAAGGCCTCCTTTTCTGTCTGTTTGTGGAGAAGGGACTGCGAGTGCTGGAGCTTGGCTTTGCAGGTCTGCTGGTGGCCCGGAAGGAAAAGATGTGCATAGAGTTGGCTGTCCAGTTGGTTTGGGCAGAAAGCATCGCCGTGGATCACTGGGCTACAGCTGTGGCCACCACTGGGGTCCATAGAGGGGCTCACCTTGCTGCCTGGGACATCATCTTCAACACTGCAACGCACGCACGCACGCACGCACACACACACGCACGCACGCACACACACACTAGATTAGCCTTCTGTGTCCTGGACTCAGTGTAAATGACTCCTAGTAGGTCAGAAAGAGTCACATGACAGACAGAAAGGTAAACTTTGATACTGGTGGAAGACGAAGAAAGTAATCTATATCCTCTTTACAAAGCATTTTTTGATTAGAAGAGGAAGTGCTGTGAATAAATTGTAGCTTTAATAGGGATTAAAATCTTAAACATTTAAACCACTACAATGTTATTAGCTCCACATTTACAGATAAATAAAGGAACATAGTGTTGGGACAACTTGAATAACAAATAATAATGTTTTGTACAGAACAAAACCTGGAAACACGATAAGCAATTGTTTTCAGCATAAAGCTAAGCTCGACTAAAGCTAGTTGTCAACAGGGAACCAACATGGCGCCGGACATGTGAGCAGCATTTTGGATGAGCTCCCATCGGCCCTGTTGATAAACTGCTTTTTATGATCGTGTCCTTGCTGCCTTTGGGCTGGATTTTGTTACTAAGACTGGTGTTATAGTGGCTAATACTACATTAAATACTTTTGGGTTAATTAAATAAAACAGGAGACACCTTGGTTCTGATTGACAGCAAAATGGGGATTTTATTTGAAGCATAAACTCGTAGGTTGAACAGCTAAAATACCTCAAGACCCCGAAAACAGAAACCCCTGTCTCAACATGGCTCTGTCCTTATTTATATCTTTCATTGACGTCAGAGGGTTATAAACCATACCATACCATTTTATTTATAGAGCACTTAAAACAGCTACAAGGCCAACCAAAGTGCTGTACAGACAGAACAACAGACAACACACGAAGCAAAATACAAAATGAAGTAAATCAGAATATAGACATAAAAACATCGCAGATAATAAATATGACAACAAACCAGTGTGGAGCATACAGGTTCAAAACACAGATCCTCTGGTGTTGAAAGCTACTGAATAGTAGTGGGTTTTTAAACGGGATTTAAAAACCGAGAGGGAGGGGACCTGTCTGACAAGCAGAGGTAACTCATTCCAAAGTCTTGGTCCTGCTACAGAGAAGGCCCTGTCACCTCTGCGCTTAAGACGAGTTCCTGGAACTGTGAGAAGACGAGTTCCTGGAACTGTGAGGAGCAATTGGTCCGCTGACCTCAGGGAACGTGGTGGGACATACGGTTGTAGCAGATCAGAGAGATGGGGG